AGAACCCTCCCCTCCGCCCCACAGAACCCTCCCCTCCGCCCCACAGAACCCTACCCTCCAGAGAAGATCTTCTCCACGTAGCTGTGCATGAACTCTCGAAGTGCCTGGGTCTCCTCATCTGGGGCCGAATCAGCGCTCTGGTTGGAGGAGAAGGACTCATTGGAAGAAGAGCGGCGCTCCTGGTCCCAGGACGGGTGTGAGGGCGACTCGCCCATGTCGTTCTCACTGTCTGCGGACTCAGTGGTCTCACTCTCTGATGCGCCTTCGCCCAGGGAGCCATCTAGGTCCTGGAATGTTGAGGGTGCTGCCTCCACAGGAGGGGACGTGGGTGGCTCAGTCCCAAAGTCAATCAGGGAGCCCACAGGAACCTCTGGGGCCTCCATGGTGGGCAGGTGTCCAAGCAGGCTGGATACAGACGGCAAAGCAGCTTCCCAAGGCTGCCACCCACGTGCAAGTGGCTTGGGAGCTGCTGGCCACCAAGGTTGAATCTCTGGAACAGCTCAGAGCCCCCAAGGCATCTGGAGTAGAAAAAGACACAAACACTGTCACCATAGGAAGGCCAGTCCCCCAGGTAGATCAGCAACTAGAAGCTGACTTCATGTGGCAGTAGTCGCCTTCCCTGTGCTGCCAATGATCTCTGCACCCCCAGGGTTTGGGGTGCCTCCCACCAGCGACAGTTTCTACGTCTGCTGTACTTAGACACTTGCTACACAGCAGGCAGGCCACAGGTACTTGAGAACAGAATGAGCCCAACTCACAGGCGCCGGATTCCTTCCAGCTATGTGGCGCACTGCAACTGCTGTTCTGCACACACTCCAGCCAGCCAGGGACATTGTCAGAGCATGAGGGTGTCTGTCCTTGCTGGCAGGGACCATCTCCAGGCACAGGGCAGCGCTGCTCACTGTCCTCTGTGGCCATGGAGGTGCTATCCTCTAAGCAGTGTCCCCTCAGCTCTGGGGTCCCTTTCCTCTCAGCCTTCCCTCCAGAGCCTGCCCAGGCCTCTCATCTGCCTCTCAGTCCCTCTGTGGTTGCTGAGTGTGACGTCCCCATCTGGGTCCCACCACATCCTTCTGCCCCTTCTCTCCTTACCACGGTCACCAGGACGTCAATGCCACCTGGATGCCAATGGACCGTCACCTCCTGTCCTCTGCTCCTGCAGTAGCAGCTCCTCCTCCCCACCCCTCCCCTTTCTCCTCCCCTTCTCCTTCCTCCTCTTTTAGCATCTCCTCTGCTGAATCCCCAATCTCTCAGGCCAGGCTCATGTGCCCATCCTCTGAGACGCTTCATACACAGTCACTCCAATCGATAGGAGCCCTTGCTCTCCCCCAGCACCAGCATTGCATCTAGACTCCTTCAGGAGTCTTCAGAGCAGACTCTCACTGAAGTGTGCCTTGAAGGTCTGGGGAACCAGCCTGAGGACTCACCCCTACCCTGGAAGCCCTTCCTACCCATGCTGAGAAGCAGCAGCACAGAAAGGCAAAGGCCTCCCACGGTCAAGCCTGGGGGTGGAGGTCACATACCCAGGGGCTACAGCAGGGGCAAGGCTGCCTTCAGGACTATTGGGCTGAGTTCAAACCAACCTGTGCTGACTCCTGTGAGCTTAATGCTCCCAGGTTGACTGTGGATTCCCTCCAAATACCTGGCCTGGGATATTTTTAGGTTCTCTGAGTCAGAAAGATGGAACAGCTCTCTGGCTCTGGCCACCACCCACATGAACACGTGCACAGGGGCAATGATACACGCACGGTGCAGCCCATACAGCCCGCCTCAGTTCAAGGGAGTCCCTTGGCTCTGAGTCCTGTCTAGGCCAGGACAGCATCAGGGGCTCCCAGGGTCAGAGGGCACCGAGTTGACAGCTCAGCTGTGGATAAGGAGGGGTGCTTGGATCCCCTCACCCAGTGATGTCTGCTGGCTGTGGCCCCATTCTCTGAGGATGGTCTCCCCACCTGAGACAGCGAGATCTGCAGAGTTAGATTTTAAGAGCCACACAGAAACCACATTCCCACTCTCCAAAGAACAGACAGCCACAAGTTCAGCTGCACATGGAAACCACTAGGACAGTGTCTGCAGTGACTGGAACAGGCAACTGCGTTCACCCTCTTCCAGTTACAGACTCAGCTTGAACTAAAATCCTGATTCTCATAAACACAGAAGCCACTCATGCGAACACACAGGAGGAAACACAGCCATTAAATGCTTAACTAACTCTTCAACCCATACTGACAACCACACACAGACATATACAAATTGAGGCTGGAGAGATGGCTCATCCTTTAAAGAGCACTTATTGCTCTTGCAGAGGACCCAGGTTTGATTCCCACCATCCACATGACAGCTAACAACTGCCCTTAACTCCAGTTCCAAGAGATCTGATGCCCTCTTCTGGCCTCTGTAGGCATTGCATGACATGGGTGCACTTACATACATGTAGGCAATACACTCATACACATAAAAAAATTTTTTTTGTCTTTTTGAAGCAGGGTCTCCCTGTAGTCCCAGCCGACCTGAACTCACTATGTAGACCAGGCTGGCCTTGAACTTACAGAGATCCGCCTGCCTCTGCCTCTGAGTGCTGGGACTAAAGGTATGGGCCACCACGCCCCGGCACACACATAAAAATTTTTAAAAAAGAAGTATGCAAATTTTCCAGGTGTAGTGGCTCCTGGCTGAAATCCCCAGCACTAGGGCCTGGATAGTGCTCACAGCCTGGGAGGTCTGGGAGGAGGGTGCAGCCCTTGCCTGGAGACAGGCTAGGGAGGCAGGGCTGAAGAGGCAGGCCCAGACATCCGCATTTTGAGGGTGGGGTTTCCTAACTTGCCTTGCAACTTCCTTCCCACCCCACCTTCTTCACAGCCCTTCCCAGACAGACTTTAGGGAAGAACTACTGCAACCAGCCACACCCCTGGGCTTTACTCAAACTCTGATTTCCCCAGCACCCTGGTGTGAGAGGGCTGAGACTTCCCTGGAAGATAACTGAGCAAAAGGGATGTGTGCATGTGTGTGTATGTATGTGTGCATATGTGTGTCATGGACCCACCCTTGCGTTGACAGGACACACAGCACAACCCTCACGTTAAACTGCCATCATAAAACTGCCATGGGGAGGGATGCTGGGAGAGGTCAGGCAGGGCTGCATCGTGGTCCTGAGTTAAGAGGGTGGCCTGATGTCATCACAAGGCACCTTGCAAACAAGGGAGGTCGGGAGTCAGAGGAGATGGTGTTACTAAGCTGCTGGCTTTGAAGATGAAGCCACGGAAAGCTGGAGAAGCAACACTTGCCAGGTGGAGACTCCTGGGTGTTTCTTTTACACCAGGAAAAACAACCAAAAAACCACTACTAGGAAGTTGGGTGGCGGCTGCCTGGCCCATGCCCACCGGGAAGAGCAAATCCCCCTCCTACCACTGACTTTGGACTCTAACGCCTCTGTGATGAGCCCAGCTGGAACTGCATCCTCCCAGGGTCCAGTCAGGCTGTGGAGCCTCTGAAGATGTCAGGCAGGCTGTGGAAAAGCTGGCACGAACAGTGAATGGAACTACCAAGCCAACAATTCACCCTCTCCCACTGTTTTCTTCCTAGCCCCACAAAGCACCACTGCGTGTCTTCTTTCGACACTGACATGTGAATTGTTCCTCTGCCTCTAGCTAGTGGCTACTTCTCACTGGCATCTATAGGTATGCCGGTAGCCCCACTAAGCACCTCTGGTCCCCTGCCTGGTACTTGGCTGGGGCCTGACCATGCTGATCTTGGTGCGGATGTGGAAGTCAGCAGAGTGACCTCCTGGCTTAGGTTTCTGGTCTCTGGCTATCTTGAGATAAGTGACCCCAATCAGTATTTGATTACTCTTATCTGTGTTTGTCCAGCCATTAGACAGACAACAATAAATTTCCATGGAAACTAGGCCTCAACAAAATAGCCAGAGAGGGAGAAGACAGAAATGTGAGTAGTGTTGCTTCCTTGAGCAGGTGCTAAACCTAGTCACTTCAAGTGATGGTTAGTACTGGTTGCCATCCTCACAAGATCTAGAGTCACCCACGAGATAAACCTCTGGGCGCACCAAAGCAGATTAGATTGGCCTCTGGCAGGTCCATGAGGGCTTTTCCTGATTAGGTTAACAGAACTGGGAAGAGCCACCCCAAGTATGAATGGTACCATCCCATGGGCTGGGGTCCCAGGCGGACCAAAAGGAGGTGAGCCGACCACCAGCATTCGTCTCCCTGACAGTGGACAGTGGATGCTGTGGGACTGGTCGCCACCTGCTCCTGCTGCCTGGGCTTCCCCACAGTGACCAGCTATAACCTCCCACTGTGAATCAAAGATCCTTTCTGCCAGTAGGCGGATCTTTGTGAGTTCAAGGCCAGCCTGGTCTACATAGTGAGTTCCAGGTCAGCTGGGGCTACAGGGAGACCTTGTCTCAAAAAGACAAAAAAAAAACAAAAAAAAAAAACAAAAAAAAAAAACCTTTCTGCCTTAAGTTGCTTTGCCAGGTATTTCACCACAGCTATGGGAAAAGCATCTAAGATGACTTGTAAGGAAACATCCCAATGTGTGCTCCATGGAGGCAAACACAAATGACCGCTGAAGGTCACAGGACCTCCTGATGTGGGGTGGTGGTCAGCATGTACATACCCAGCCTGCTGCAAGTGGCACTTGAAAATGATCAGTTCTCCCCCTCACATCCTCCCTGATGGAGTAAGAACCCAGGGGGCCGTCCCAGCCTGGAGCTGTGAGCACATGTGCCAGACAGTCTCTGACGCTCAGCCCAGGTGTGTCCAGAATCTCGTAAACAGCAGCCACTGCAGAGGTGTTGAAACAGGCCACCCACCGCTCAAACCCAATCCCACCCAAGATCACAGAAGGACCTTCAGCTCTGCCAGCAGACAGCTCAGCCCCAGTGCTCCTGACCACCTACCTGTGCAACCAGGAAGGGATTTCTGGTTGGCTGGGCTAGGATGTGGTAGCTGTGAAAGAAGCATGTCAAGTCACAGGAAATATTACCAGTGCCCTTTAAGACAGCGGGGTACATAGGTAGCTGTTCAGATTTATACCCAGTTAATATGGCTCCAAGGCAACTTACAGACTTTAGAATCACATAAACCCATTACTGTCATTGGACGATGAGTTTTTTGGTGGCGAAAGCTAAAAGGCGACACCTGCTGGGCTGAGTCTCTTTTTAAAATCTTTGTGAGACAGGGTCTCCCTGTAGCCCCAGCTGTACTGGATCTCACCATGTAGACCAGGCTGGCCTTGAACTCACAGAGGTCCGCCTGCCTCTGCCTCCCAAGTGCTGGGATTAAAGGGGTACGTCACTATACCCCTCTACATGGAGACTGAGATTCCTTTAAAAGGCTCCAGAGAGCTGCAGGCGTGCATTCCAGCACCTTTGGAATGGGGACCCGCCTGGCTGGAGCTGCTAGGCGAAAACACACCACACACACAGCATTTCCTAAGCCTCCCCTCAGATGCCAGATGTCTCACGCTGGAGTTCCCAGAGGTCTTCCAGTGCCAGCATGCTGAGGTGGCAGCCAAAACAGGAGCAGGTGCTACGCTGCCAGGGAGGAGAGCTGCTGTGTGGCCCTGAAAGCCCATGACTTTGGCTCTGTTCCCACAGCAGCAGTGCTTTAGCTCTGCAGGTACTGCACGGAGGCACAGCATCCCGCACAGGGTGGCCTCTTTCCTGGGTCGGCTGGGCAGCAGCCTTTGCCAGTGTTTGGGCTCTGGGTGTGACGCTGTTCTCTACTGACAGGGGCCTCCTCACAGCCCAGGATTCATGGTTTGAGGAGGGCAGGGAGTCTTGCCTGTCTCCTCTGCAGGAGTCTCAGGGCTGGGAGAGGGCCAGGCTGCTCAGGGAAGTTTTGCTGTTTTCAAATTCACAGATCAAGGGTCAAGCTGAGCTCCCCCCAACCTTGTGTTAGTGCAAGAAACTTCTGTTCCTGCCCTCAGGGTCCTGGTTACTGGCTCCCCATTCCACATGTGAAGACGGAAAGCGGCAAATGAAAACTGTCAGAAAACCTACTGCCCTTTGTGTCACAACCAGCAGGAGGAAAAGCCATCCTCCCACCTGTGGAAAAGCCGTCCTCCCATCAGTGGAAAAGCTGTCTTCCCATCCATCTGTGGAAAAGCCATCCTCCCATCCATCCATGGAAAAGCCGTCTTCCCATCCATCCATGGAAAAGCTATCCTCCCATCCGACATCCATGGAAAAGCCGTCCTCCCATTCATCCGTGCAAAAGCCATCCTCCCATCCATGGAAAAGCTGTCTTCCCATCTGTGGAAAAGCCATCCTCCCTCCCATCCCTTAGTTCTTGTTTGTTTAGAGATAGGGTTGTGCTCTGTGGCTTAGGCTGGCCTCAAATTTGTGATCCTCCTGCCTCAGCCTCCTGTGTGCTGGGAACTTGCTGGTCTTTGATAATAGCATGTATGCACAGACTCAGCCACTCCTAGCCACTCCACTGAGCTGTGTGGGTCAGGGACAATACGGTTCCTGACTCGGTGGGCCTACAATGTAAACCAGGCAAAGAAATATTCTGCAGCGATTCAGCTAAGTCACAGTGTGCCCTCTGCAGAGGGCAGAGCACAGTGAATAAGCAGCTCTGCCCCAACCTCCAAAGGTATCCCACTGGTAAGACCGACAAGCCAAGGGTCTAGGTAATGGGGCAGCCGGGCAGCAGGGGGGCACCATGAAGAGGCAGAGTGCTTGGGAGGGGTGACTCAGGAGAGAAGGACCACACAACAAAAGGTTCTCAGAGGAGACCATGCACAGGAGACTGAGCCACTTTTTGGTAAGGGAGAAGGGGAGAGGGTGTCTGGGGGAGGAAACACCACCTAGGCTGTGACACTGGCTGTGGGTGGGTCTGAAATGATGTTACCATGTTTTGCCACTGCAGGGTGGCCTTGGGGCAACTGAGTCAATTTTGGTCTACACTGGGAACCAAAAGCTATGTCAGGGAGTACTGAGACACAGCCTCATGAGAAAGGACTTCACACCACACCACTGGCCATTGGGGTGGTGAGACGATTTGGGAAGGGACCTGGGATGCTGGTAGCAGTGGGGTCCTCTTTCAGGATCCTAGATCTGAACTGCAGACCCCCATGCCATTCATCACGGTACAGTCCTGGCTTGGTGCAAGGCTGGACAGGGCAAACGCTGCCTGCACCTCCCAGGAGGTGTGGCATCATGACCCTGAAGCATGCACAGAACCAAGGTGCGGAAGGCCAGGGTGCGGGGCCATGCAACAGCTAGAGATATCTGGGGAGAGGCAGGCAGGCAGGTTTGGGGTACAGAGCAAGCGGAGCTGTTTGGAAAGGCATTGGATGGCCCCTCAGCCCTTTGCAGATCCCAGCTGGGAGGCTGGCACGGAACGGTGACTACAGCTGGCGGAGGCCAGAGCTGTGGATGCATCCTGGCACGGCCAGCCCAGGAGGCTCTCAGCAAACCAAGATGGCTGCCAGCAAGGGAAGGGAAAAAGAGTGGAGACTCCCTGCTCCACGGGAGAGAGTGGGTCTGTGAAGGGGGGTAGGATCTAGGAGGAGGAGGTCAAGCAAAGGATGGCCTGCGCAAGAAGGGAAATAGTAAGAGCTGGAAACGGAGCTGACAAGCACAGGTGAGTGTCCACTCACAGACCGTGGGGCACTGCTGCAGAGACAGCACACTGGGGTTAGAGTAAAGGTGACAGGCTCATGTCGGCTCTGGGGACAGGCCAGAAAGATGCGGCCTGAACACTGATTAAGTGATCAACAGATTCCAAATCACAGTCTCCCAAAAGGAACCTCTGAACAGATGTGTCTCTTCATCGCTCCCTACCAGGCCCATCATGACAACATGGCTATCACCACACAGAGACAAGAGCAGTCCCTCCCTTTCTCAAGCAAAATAAATAAATAAATACAGAAAGCACGTATGTCCTGACCACCAGAGAATCCTTGAAAAGTGAACACACTCATGTGATCTGTGAGGACACAGATCTTCGACACTAGTACCCATGCCCTCCCACGAAGGGACAGAAGGACTTTGTGGGGCGAGCCTGTGAGATGGGTGACATGGGACCCAAGACGCTCTAGAGGATGGGAACTGCAGGTGTGGAGGCTGGCAACAGCCCAGGAGCTGAATCTGCTGGTATTTCCTCTTTATTCTGGGCAGGACATATACATGGTAACAATCTATGTCTAGGTAATTCTCTACTGTGTTCTTTCAGTAGGACAGACTCAATCCACCCAAGAAGAGCCTGCCATAAGGTGCTAAGTGGCAGGCACACCTCCTCAGCAGTGCATAGAAGATGGTGAATCTCATGGCCTGTGAGGTAGTAGGTCTGAGGGAAGATGGTGGCAAACACCTGCTCCAGCCACATGGACAGGTGTCCCTGCCAGTAACAGGCACCTGTATTCATTACTCAGATTCAAATCATCAGAGAACTGAGAGGATTAGTCAGCTCAGGATGACATAGAAACAGAGAATGCATATGCTAATAGAGGGGAAGACGGGTACTAGGGGTAGAGGGTGTGAGACAGTGGGCAGGGAGCTAGGGAAATAGGGGAGGGGAGTCAACTGAAAGTCTGCGTGAAAATGCCATAGGGAAACGTGGTACTTTGTAAGCTAATTAAAAAATAAAATGGCCAGCTGTGGTGGTGCATGACTTCAATCCAAGCACTCAGGAGGGAGAGGCAGGTGGATCTCTGTGAGCTCAATGCCAGCCTTGTCTCAAAAATAAGCAAACAAAATGGAATTAAGATTTTGGTCTCTGGATTGGAGTTCGTTTGCTGGAACTTGCTGCATGCCTGTGTGCCAGGCATGAACAACACAGGAACTAATGAATGACCCGTGGAGGTGTCTGACTCTAGTGTCATACTGAGAGGCACTTGTGGGGCAATGACATGCTTGCTATGAATCAACACATGGATGTAACAATCACACAAACTAAAAGGATCTTGAGATGTGCTGGCAATGCCTCACCTAGAGCCAGTGACGTCACTTGTGCCAGTGCCAGTGCTCTTAGAATGGTCTCTTCCATTCTCTACCTTGGAAGCAGTGATTGGCTTCCCTCTCCACGGCAACTCTGTGGGGTGCTGTGGCCAGGCATCTGCACACAGTGTCATCCTCAATCCCCAGTCCTGGGCAGCCCCGGAGAGTCATCCGTTTAGACGTAAGAGTAGATTTAATGTGTGCAAGCGAGGCTTTAAAAGGACGAAGGGAGAAAGCGGAAGGCTGATGAGACCCTGCCAAGCATCCAGAGGCAGCGAAATCAGACTGTCCAGTACCACCAGGTTCTTGATCACGTCGCAGGAGCGTCAGAGAGGAAGTGGAGGGAATTTATGGTGGGGAGAGCCACTTAGAGATAGGACCGTGGTCTTCCCAGCTGTGAAGGGCTGGGTAGGAGTGATGAGGCTGCTCTGTATGCCTGGGTGTTCGAGGGTCCAGCAGAGTGAAAGCCTCCACAAACCAGGACGACCTGTGGGTCTCCTTTCTAGGAAGTCAGGTGGAAGGTTGGTGACAGGGAGGGACCTGGCTTCTGGACTCCCATTTCCCCAAGATGCTGCTCCGTGAAGTTCAGCTCTTCTCTGCAGCAACCATCCCATGGCTATATGCAGAGGCCCCAAGTTTACATCGTCAGGAAGGAGATGGCTAAAATGTTGCCAGGGCCTCAGGGAGAGGAGATGACCAACGAAGTTCTCCACTCACAGCCTCCCCGTGGCACTGTCCAGGGCCTTGCTGGATCCAAATGAGCCAGGCTCTGTGCCATGTGCTGGAGCACCTCTGAACAGCAGACAGGCCCCTGCCCACTCAGCACACTGCCTTGATCTGCCTACTTCACCCCTAGATCCATCCAGTAGAATCTAGGAACTCAGCAGCCGTTCCTGAGCGACCACGGAGGGAAGGTACAGAATCCGGATCATAACCAACAGCTCCTTCCAGTCTGGGCCTCGGGGCTTCTGTGTCTTTCAAGCCTCTCAAGAGTCATCAAAAGCCACAGGACCCCACTCAGATCTGGAAGCATTTCCCATGAGAGTCACCATTCCCCAACTCATCTGCTTCCATACCAACCAAATGCTCCTGGTCACTGCCAGGCCTGGACCTCTGTCAGTCAACAGCTGTGGCTCTTTCAGAGAACAGTGACAATCTGGGGACAGAGGGATGCAATTAGGACATATTAACTTGCCCCCCCGACTCCCCATAGTATTAGGCAATTTGGCAAAGTATCCCAACACTACCAGGCCTTTGGTGTGAAGATTAGAGCTGGTAGTCAGGGGACAGGGACAGCTCCCACAGGATCCAGAGACTGCTTTCTAGGAAGAATCCACAGGAAGTCATGAGAGAGACAGTGACCAGTCAGTCTTTCAGGTTCGTGCTGTCTGTAGGTCTAGGGGATGGCCAAGCACAGAGTGCTGCCCAGAGGACATCTGTGCCCCTGTGGGAGGAGAGAGCAGGCTAACAGCCTGGAGGCAGGGGCCTCGGGCAGGCTGTGGGAAGCCCTCTTCGGAAAGGTCACTAGTGTCCATCTCTGCCTACGTAGGACACCTGTCATCTTGGGCTGCTGGTCAAAGCTGCCCACGCAGTTCTCCAGGGACCAAAGGCAGAGGGGATGTTGCCAGTACTGAGCAACCTCGGGGTGCTTGAACACGTCAGACCCCCAGCAGCTCCCAGCCTGGCCTTGGCAGCTCTGTTCCAGCAAGCCAGTCAGAACCTGCTTCTCTGTATGCAGAGATGCCAAGCTGGCCGTATTCCATGTGGAGGTTTTCCACAGGTCAGCTGTGTCTTCCAAAATCCTCCCATTGTCACTCAGTATGCCTGAGGCAGTAACCCAAGCAAGCCCCCAAACCCACACATGGCAGTGTTCGTAAAAGCAAAGCCAGAAAGACCCTAAATGTGCACCGACATCGTGTAAGTGCTGCTGCATGGGAATCCTGGCACACAATCATGACACACAGGAATCCCAGCACACAATTATGATACACGGGAATCCCAACACACAATCATGACACACGGGAATCCCAGCACACAGTCATGACACGGGAATCCCAGCACACAATCATGACAGCACCATACTCGGCGGGGGGGATGTTTACATTAAGTGGAAATGACCCAAAAGCTGAAAAGGGAGAGGATCGCAGCCCTGGGTTCTGATGACCTAAGACAACATGGATGAAGCCTGGCTGCCTTCGTAGGCTGCGTGCAGGGATCAAATAAGTGACCTCAGAGGCCAGAGTGCTTGGAGCACGAGTAACTGGGCATCAGAAGGAGCTTAGCGCATGGGTCGGCGGCAAGGAGGATCCTGCTGGCCAGTCGGCACGTGCAGGTCACTATCCCTGATGGGGACTAAATGCAGTGGACAGTCCAACCCTTCAGAGAGCCTTTTAACTCCGTGAGAATCATTCTTCCAATTAAAGCTTTCTACTTTTTCAGACAGGGATTTGTGCAGCCCATGCTGGCCTTACACTCACTATATAGAAGACGGCCTTGAGCTTCTGGTCCTCCTGTTTCCCACTCTTGAGGTCTGGGATTACAGATGCACGCCATGTGGTGATTATGTGGTGCTGGGGTCCAAACTCAGGGCTCTGTAGGTGCTAGTCCAGCACTGGACCAACTGAGCTACAGCCCAACCCCATTTCTTTTTGCTATTGCCTTCCTCCCTCCTTCCCTTCCTTGAGACAGCCTCACTTTGTAGCCTAGATGGGCATGGAGCTCAGTAGCTCAGGGAGCCCAGGCTAGCCTCAAACTGACATCCTCTTGCCTCAGTCTCCCAAGTGCTGGGATTACAGATGTGTATCATCACACCAGCTTTTCTTTTTTTCTTTTTTCTTTTTCTTTTTCTTGAGACAGGGTTTCACTATGTGGCCCTAGTTAGAACTTGCTATGTAGACCAAATTGGCCTTGAACTCACAGAGACCCACCTGCCTGAATCCCAAGTACTGGGATTAAAGGCAGGCCTGAGCCACCACACCTAGGTCATTTTTGCTTTTTGAGAGAAAAGGAGGAGGACTAAGGAGAAAGTGCAAGACTTCACAGGGCTCAGACACTTGCGTGGTTATTGCCGAGATAAGGTCTCACTGCAGCCCAGGCTGGCCTGGGACTTACTGCGATCCCCTGTCCCATCCTCCTGAGTGCTGGCTTATGTGTGTGCCATCAAGCCTGGCTGGACACTCACTTCCTATGGAGCTCAGATCAGCTTGCTCTAGGAGGCCACGCACAGCAACCATCTGAGTGCAAATACTCCAAACCTTGGATTCGAGACTCTCCCTCTGAAGAGCCTTTTCTTCACATCTCTATCCAAGCCTCGTCTAACACAGCTACCTGCATCTGATCCAAAATACTTTGGAATCTGTGCATATGAATATATAAGGAGCTAACCCACCTCTACACATGGGATCGTCTTTTTCCATGCGTGCCTCACACACAGTCTGAAGTAATTTTCTACAATACTGTTATGTGCCTGTGAGGTTTTCGGTTTATTTTGGATTTTTTGGTTTGTTTGTTGAGACAAAGTCTCCTGGTAGCCCCAGCTGGCCTGGAACTTGCTATGTAGAGCAGACTGGCTTTGATGTCACAGAGATTCACCTGCCTCTGACTCCCATGTGTGGGGGTTAAAGGCGTACACCACCACACCTCGCCCTGTGCCCGTGTTATGATGCGACTCTTCACATGAGGTCCCCATGGCGTTTTCCACCTGTGGTACCATGTTGGTGCTCAGAAGGTTTTGGAATTTGCAGTATTGGGAATTTCAGACTTTCAGATTAGGGGTGCTCAGCCTGTGTTCCTGGTACTGAGGAGAGAGGTCTATTGGCACTCATTCGGCCTGGAAGCCTGAGCAGGCATGGCCCCAGCTCTGAGAAGATGGGACAAGCAGTTTCATGGGGGAGGCGCTGCAGAGACCCCCGGGAGCCCCGGGTCAGTGCTGCCCTTAGCCTTGCCTAATCACGCCCCTCTTTTCCTCTTTCCCCACACAGACCACACGTTTCCTCAGCCAGGTAGGTAGCGACTTCCTCCTTTTCCGGTTTCAGGATCTGCTTAATGCCTGACGGTGGCCAGGTCTTTTGCGTTCCTTGTGCTAAGTGCCTGGTCTCCTGTCTCATCCCAAGTGTGGCTTTGACACCTGGGGAGGAGGCAGAGCTGCTGCCTCTGAACATGCAGTTCTGTCAGCTAGGTGGGAGAAGAGACCAGTGAAGTGCCCCAGAGGGGCAGGGGGCTGCCATGTCTGCCCTGCAGTCCCCAGCCTGGAGTAAATACAGCCTAACACCTAGAAGAGGGGCAGGGGAGGAATGGGGTCGCCTGGTTTCCAGACAGAGGGCTGGGGTTTCCCTCACCCTGTCTATTCTCTGCTCTACAGTGGCCCAGTCCCCAGGTGACTCCACTGCACCAGGTGTTTACAGCCTAAGGATTATCACAGGGCCTCAGACAGCCACAGGGGCCACATATAGATGTTATGGCAAGGAAAGACTAGAACAGTTGGGCAAAGGCCCATGAATCAAGCCAAGACCGAAACCCACAGAAGGGTTGGGAGGGACTTAGAACTGGAACCCTAAATGGCTAATGCCTGCTAAAGCCAATATATCAGCTCCCTGAGATTTAAAACATTTTTTATTTTTTAATTTATGTGTATGTGTGTATTGCCTGCAGGTAGGTAAGTGCACCTGGGTCGTGCAATGCCTGAGGAGGTCAGAGATGCTGTCGGATCCCCTGGGACCAGAGTTACGGACAGTTGTTAGCTGCCATGTGGGTGCTGGGATTCAAACCCGGGTCTTCTGCAAGAACAGCCAGTGTTCTTAATCACGGAGCCATCTCTCCAGCCCCAGCTCCCCTGTGATATTTAAACAAGACTTATAACTTGACATTCAGAACGTTCAGAGTTAATCCAAAATTACCCAGCACACAAAGAACCAAGAAAGTCCTCCTGAGAGAGCTGAATGTTCAGATCGCCCAGAGGGCACAGATATGGGCAGCATCACAGTGCAGGCTCTAGGGTGACTACTGCTAAAAACACTCCAAGAAGTGGAGGGGGGACCCTGACGTAGAAGGGAAAGCCAGAAGTCCCAGGGAGAAAATGCATATAAAGGGAGATCAGCCAGCTGCAGAATGGAAAATTTAAAACCCACTGGAGAGGCTCAGCACAGCAGGGACGGAGCAGAGCCCACTGACACCAAGATAGGCCTGTGAGTGTTTGATCCTAGCAACACAGGAAAGAGAAAATGAGCTGAGCCTGCAGACGTCAGACAGCACAACACACACATGCTAGAAAGGAGTTCAGTACAGAACCCAGACAAGTGAGCCCAAATCAACCAAACATAACCAAAAGTTACGGCCTACAAAGGACAAAACCCACAGATCCAAGAAGCGGGCTAAACCTAGAAAGTTGTACCCTCCCCACACACACCATACACACCCCATGTACCCTATCCGGCACCCACACACACCATACTACATACCACATGCACTCCCTATCTCACATACACCATACATATATCACATACATACTGACATACCATGGGATGGGTGCACGCACACCCCCAAAATGAAACTACTGAAAACCAAAAACAAACTGTCCTGGTTCGTTTTCAATTGTGTGATACAAACAGTGACCAAGACCAACCTGGGTAAGAAAGGGTCCACTCTGTCCCACAGTTCGTCGCTGACCTCAGAGCACTGGCCTAGAGCACCGGACAGACACCAGTGTGACTCCCCTGGCCCAAGAGCAGCT